ATAGACGATTACTGTGTAAAAAAAAATCCAAACCCCCCCCAACAGCAACCCCAGAAAAGCCCTGGGTCACTCAGAAACCAGGGGAAATGTTTCCGCTCGCTGGGCTCCGCCCCATCCCATCCCGCTCCGATCAGATTAACTTTCCCCCTCCCTCCAATCTCTTCCTTCCGAGACGGCCACTGTGAAAAAAACAAAACAAAAAAACAAACCCCAAAACCAACTCCAGAAATCCTCCCTCGTTTTGCAACGAGAAAACCAGTCCGGGAGAAAGAAAGATTTGCAACAAGAAAACCAGTCCGGGAGAAAGAGAGAAAGAAAGAAAGAGACCCGTCGTCTTCTCCTGCTCCAGTCAGCCACACAGATCGCCATGGGAGTGAAGTCATGACGTAGTGGTCAGGCCTTGTCTTCAGAGGGTGGTGGCCAGGCCTGGCCTGGCAATCCTAACAGTGGCTTTTGTAAAGCTGAGTCCTAACAGCGGTTTCCTGAAATTCTGGGTTTAGCAATTTAGGGATGAGCCCAAAGAAAGATATATAATGTTATAAAAGACTATCCAATGTGTGGGTGTGTTTTACAGTGGTCAGTTGTCAACCCCACTCAGTGGTAGAACATCTGTTTGGTATGCAGGAGGTCCCAGGTTGAATCCCTGGCATCTCCAATTCAAGGATCAGGTAGTAGGTGATGTGAAAGACCTGCACCTGAGACCCTGGATAGCTGCTGCCAACTGAGTAGACAATACTGACTTTGATGGACCAAGGGTCTGATTCTGTATAAGACAGCTTCATGTCTGTTCACGTGTGTTCTGGTTTGTATCTTGTTAGGATAACAAAGTTACTAGCTGGTTAAGTGCTTTGTCTCACTAGCATCTTTTCCTTTTCCTGAAATTTACTGTGCCAAAACAGAGAATTGTGTATACATCATATTCTAGTTTTACTCCAGATCTTGTTTTACTCCAGTGAAACTGCCATATTCTGCCTACGGTGCCAATAAATGTTCATGCTGTAACCTACTGAGTGATTCTGTTGTGTCAACACCACATCATTAACAGCACCACATCCCCACGGTGAGCTGATCTGTATCTTCATTGGTGCATGGGTTTCTAGCCTCCACTGGGAGGATGGCATAGATGATTACCAGCAGTGCATGGCATTACGCCATGCTCCAGGGTCATCTCTACCTCAATATAACCGCAGGGCCAAGATCTCAACCATCCTCCCGGGGGATGACCAAAGTTGAATAGCCTACGTCCACAGTTGCCTTTCCCCCTGGCCAACTGGAGAAAACACAGGAGGCAGCTCTGGGTAAGTTAAAACCAAGAAATAATTCATTAATACATAAGGAAAGAATGCTGATTAAGAGTGTTCTCAACCGGGACATGAAGTATTGCCGCCATCAGGTGTTTTCACAGTTGATGAACTACTCCGGAGTTCTGTAAATCAAGAGGGGGAAGACGCTTTCGCAGGCACGGTCCCTCTCTCATTACATTTCAGATGTTATTTCCCTTTGGGATCTTTGTGGCTGACAGGTGTTAGGGTTAAACCTAAATGGTACAGGGTTATTTGTGCTATCCATTTTTGGATGGGCCAAGTGACATCAGAAAATTGGGTGTTTGTTGCCCACAAGATCAAGCGAGGTCAAAACCATCAGGAGCCGCCAAAAAGCAAGGCGAGAAAGCATGGCAAGGGAAACAGGGCTGTTGGGGAAGGTCAGAGGAGGGCCACTATTAAGTCCTGGATTTGGGGGAGGTGGGGTTGCATGTCGTCACCGCGACTGCACAGGACAAACTATGCCAACCCTTTTTTTGGTGGCAACAATACTGTGCGTATTCCCTACGCACTACGAGCGACCCCCAGCATGGTCTGTTCTTGTTCGCAAGAGGTGTTTACAAAAGTTGGAAATCGCAGCTGAAACCCATTTTGCGGCACTACTTGGAATGGTCCGTCCTGAACAATTCACCCCTATCGTAAGCGCTTGGTACTGCAAGCACACATGCGTTTCGGAAAAAAGTTGCGAGAAGACGTTACCCGGTATGGCCTCCTCCCTTGGAGTGTATTGGCAGGAGAACGAGGTGGACCGCATGCATGAGCTCCTGATTGAACTAGAGGCGGGAGGATGTGTGATGCCCAGAACACACCTTGAAACATTTTCAATTTTTAAAAAGGTGTCAAGACTGCTGTCCCGTGAGGGGATTCGCAGAACCCCGAGCCAATGCAGGGCAAAATTTAAGATAGACAAGGGGGCGTTTTTTGACGCACTTGAGGATTGGGGCGGGTTCCCACCCTCCAGTAAGCGCCCACCATGTTTCCACCTCCTGGTCAGGCTATGGGAGCAGGCTGGTCGGCCAAGCTGGACGCATAGGCATCACCCATGTGAGTATCTTAAGCATTTTATACGTTGGCGGCAGCTGATCCAGTGCAGGAACGCTGACCATACTTATGGAGGACTGTGCAGTCCATGGCCAAGTACCATCAAAGGCACTGTGTTGGTCACATGACAAACTCACTTTGGTACTCTTTAGCGGTCTTGTGTTTTGGGAGCTCTTAGCATGGAACCCTGCACAACGGCGGTCATGCATTGCCTGCACTGGTACTGGTGTTGCCACCATGCATGTTTTTAGGTATTGTGGTGGATGCACGTCATGGGATACTGGCCTGCTCTATGGCTTCTCCAATGTTCTTGTGTGTGGATGCATAAGGTCCTGCATGCACACAAGAACGCAGGGTGATAAGAAGACATTTCAAATTTGTTATTGCCGTTGAAACCTCATCAGCCTTTTTTTGACACCTTTCTTTGAATAGACACTCCCAGGGTGCGTCGGCGGGGATGGACAGGAAGGAGAAGGGTCGCAGTGGTGCGGGACTCTTCATCCCCCTCACCACAGTCTGCAACGGAGGATCCTGGAGAGGGGCCGTCACAAGGTAAGTTCAAGGGAGCAGCATCTATCGGTGCCATGCTTTGTACTGACGCGGTTGATACTGGCTCTTACTTAGGGCAACACTTCTGACTGTATTGCAGCAATAGAAGAACAGGCGGCCCCAGAGGACCCAGGGGAGACAAACGCATTGGTTGAAGGTGAGGGGAGTTAGGCCCATTGTCCGGCCTGGTACAGCTGCAGTGCCTTCCTTCACATCAGTAGGCCAGTCCGCAGCATGCCCTATAAACCTCCTCCTGTAATGGGTGCTGGCTCAGGGGACTGAAATGTTGTTGGTGTATACTAAAGTGAACATTTTTAACTTGCTTGCAGCCATACATGAGTTTCCCGCACCAGAGGACCAAGGGGAGACCTTGTCAGTGGGTGCAGGTGAGTGGTACAAGCACCCTGTTGGATCCAGTAATGCCGCGGCGTGTTTTCTCATAATGGAACCCTGCAGAGAAAATGCTCTCAGTTTTCGCCTACGTTGTACATTAACAAAACGGCTTGTGGTGTTTTACAAACCCATCGCACCATACGGCAACATAAGAGAAGAAAAATTAAATGGGTTTAGAACAGTATGGCATGTACACTGCAGAAAACCTGTACCATACACAGGTGCTGCAGATGAGGAACTGCCACAGGAGGCCTCCCGATTGTACCCTCTGCAAATTGCGTCACCCGCCGAGACATCCATGGGTATGGTAACTCTTTCTTGTCCTACCTTTTACCGCAACTCATGTCTGTGGTCTAACCGGTGTCGTAATGTCACCTAGGTCAAGCAGCTATGCCCCCCCCCCACAACACAGTTGGCCGAGGCACTTCCCTGCCATGGATGCTGTACCCTGGAAACCCGCCTCACCCAATTTGAGCAAAAGGTGGATAGGCGATGTAAGTTGAGAATGGGTGTGCGTTCAAGCTACGCCGTGGTGGTTGTGTGTCTTTACTCCAGCACAATTAAACCACACTGAACAGTCCAGGCATGTGGCTCAAGACCATGTTGCATGCCATTTGCCCCAGCACTTTTCAAGCAGGTGATATAGTTGAGGTGCATTGGGGCAGCACGGGTGCATAGTTTAACGCAGCGTTTAGTCATGGTGGCCTCATGACCCCAGAACCTGTCACGGACAGCGGTGGCCCATTGACTTTGAACCGGTACATACCCGGGCTCGCCTGGCTTTCAAAGCAACTGATCAGTGCACTGGTTTTACTGGTTCTGCAAGCTGTCTCAAAATTGAAAATCAACCAGCACAACACGTGTAACCAACCTCCTTTCCCCCCCGATTACAGTTATGCACGTGATCCGGCTAATAACATTGCTACGCCAGTCAGTAAGCAGGCTGAGGACACAGGTGGCGAGCACACGGAACCCAGATGTGGAGGCGACAGAGGAGGGCCAAACAACCTCGCCGAACACTGTGGAGGAGGATCAAGAACTTGTTAATTAGTCACGTATTCAAATGTTCTTTGTAATGTTTATTTCTGATTGCACATTTTCTTGTTGTTTATTATTGCACAATTATAGTACGTCATGCAGAAAAACTGTTATTAAAAAGTACAAAATACAATACTGTGGTCAGAATGTAGCAATGCTCTAACAAAGACAGGCATCGATCACTTAGTGCAAAGCTACAGGAATACAGAGCGATCGAAGAACAAGAGCAAAGGTTGGGGTTCATCAGTGCCTGTCCCGGCCTCCCTGAGATGTTTTCATGTGGCCACACTTGGGGCCATTGTTCGGAGTCATGGGTGTACAAAACTAAGAAAGGTTTGCTACCGTGTTTCCCCGAAAATAAGACACTGTCTTATTTTATTTTTTTCTCAAGAAGACACACTATGGCTTATACCACAAATGCATAGAAATCCTGCTAGAGCTTATTTTTGGGGTAGGTCTTATTTTCAGGGAAACAGGGTAGATATCTCCTTAGGTATTTTTCAAAAAAGGTTTTTAAAATGGCACATGAGACAGGTTGTCACAGGAAATCATAGCTATTACAGGTATAGAGATGTCTCCTGGAGTATCACTTGAATAGATCGGCGACACATCATGAAAATAAGGTTGTCACTGTAGGTGAGATGGTTCTACATGGCCACACTTGGGACCATGACAGTAAAACAGTGCGTGGGGTAACTTAACAGTTCCTGGGGGATTTATAAAAGAGAACTCTAGAGCACAAAAAACATGTTATCACTGTAAAGACAGTGTCTATTAAAGTCGGCGATTACTCCTGAGGTATATCTTGACTACACTGCTAACGTGTCATGCAAATCCAAACATAATACAAAAGAAAAAAACCCAAATTAGAAAAGGTTAGATGCATCAAAAAAAATCCCCCCCCCCCCCGCATGAACTCCCTGAGATGCCTTGACGTGTGCTATCTTGAGGGCAAGGTCAACCTTCATGGACTAAAGGGTATTTTCTTTTTGGGGCGAGCACGAATGACAGGCTTCCTTCCATAGGGTTTTGGGGCTTGGGAACTTAAGGACATCTCCGTCTGTGAGTTTCCAGGGCGGACCTCCCCTGATGGCTGCCGACCTGGGTAACTCGCAATGGTTTCCCTGCTGGGCTCACCCAGTCCCGGGACGGAGGGCTGGATAATGGCCTTGGCTATGTCATTTATTACTTGCAAGGTTGATCTTAGAATTTCTCTCCTAGACTCCCTTGCCTCTCTTTCCTCCTGTCGGTAGGCCCTAAACTCGTGCATGAACTCATCATGTTCCCGTCTGGAAGCCTCCAGGTAGATTTCCTGCTGCTTCAGAAACTGGTCCCCGACCCTCTGCACCGCGGTGACACGTTTTTTCCTTGCTTTAATGAGGCGTAGGCGTTCCGCCGGTGTCAGTTTGGCCATGATGGCCCCCGGGTCGACATCTGAGGGAGAAAGGAAAGCTGCATAAACACTTCCCCCAGGATACAAACCACAAGTTTTAATTAATGGTAAACAAATCGTAAGAGCTGTACCACACATCCTGGAAAAATGATGAGTGGGGGAAAGCCCCCATAGCTTAAAACAAAGTCACGTTCCAGCACAGGAATAATAACCATGTGGGGGTCAGCGCCACGGGATGGTGTTGTCACCACATGTCACGGACGGCTATACGACGGGATAAGGAAGTGATACTGGAGCAGTGGCACATCATGGGCTCTCGGGCAGAAGGCATTGAAATGATACTTTGGGAGAAGTGATGCCCTGTGTCCTATGCAGTCCTGGTTGGAAAAAGTAGAATGGTGGGTGGTTGTCCCCCCTCCCCCGGTGATTTTTAGCATGGCATAAATTAACTTCCTGGGGAAGCGCTCCTACCATTGGTGTCTCCATCTCCGTAGTTTGAAGCCTCGTCATCAGCATCTAGCGTGGATGTGCTGGGACCTGCGTGAGATAGGAAGTCAGACCTTAATGAAGTGCACCTTATATTGCTGCTTAGAATCCCTGACTATTGCTGTGACCAATGCAAGCCTCGACTAACAGGGACTCACCGGATTCCCTTGGAGAGCCAATGTTGGTAGCGTCTGTGTCTTGGAATTGGGATGCCTCCTCCACAGGTACAGACTCTAAGGGAAAGCAGAGAAGGAAACATTAGGCACACTTGAAGGCCAAACTCCCACTATCATTTAATGTCCTTCCCAGTGCTGTCGTAACAGGTTCACATGGAAAACCAATCTGTTGTGCATTCCAACGAAGCACGCATCAGGGAAGAACAGGACACACACAGCCATTTCCTAAACCTTGGTAATCAAGCAGAACAACATGCATAAGTGTTCTCTCTCAGCAATGGGTTGTGTCAGAAACTTAGGCACAATCTCAGTCAACAAGAAGGTGATCTTGCGCGCCATCTGCTGGAGGAACTGCAAAAAATCAACCAGAAATTGGACAGTATGGAAAGTGCCTATAGTGTCCAACAGAGAAAAATGACAGAGACAGCCGACAAGGTGGATGATATTGCAAAGAAATGTCTGGCATCATCAGAAGAAATACAGAAAGTTAAGAAGGTCATTAAAGTGGAAAAGCATCAAGAAAAACAGGAGAATAAACTGTTACTGCTTCAAATGGAGAAAGCGAATTTGACTCTTCAATTTCAAGGGCTGAAAGAGGAGGAAAGAGAGGACCTCAGAGACATTTTGGCAACAGCTTTAGCACCACTGACTGGCAACGAAGCGGGAAAAATAAAAGAAGAGATGGATTTGGTTTATAGAGCCTACTCCAACTTTACAAAGAAAAACAAGTTGCCAGCGGAAGTGGTCGTGAAATTCACAAAGCAACGTCTCCGAGACCAGATTTTAAAGGCAGCTTCAGCAACACCCTTGAAAATTGGAGATCAACCGATCAGGATTTTGAAAGATGTTCCTTTTGAAATCAGAATGAAAAGAAAGGAATATAAAGGATTGACCATGTTCTTACAAAGTCATCAAATCAGTTACAGATCGTTGGTGCCCGAAGGATTGGTCTTTAAGTTTAAAGACAGAAGAGAAAAGATAGACTCTATCTTCAAGGCTCAAGACTTTTTGAAGAGGCACGCCAGTACAGAAGAAGAGGCAGAACTTGCCAAGTGGATGTCGGGAACTAGCGGGGAAGACAGCAGCTTGGAGGGAGAAGTGAAGGACGAGGAAGCTAAAGGAGCGACCGGTCCAAAATATAACTTAAGAGAAACTTAGGCACAATCCCCCCAACTTTGAGCGCAAGAGCACAACGGAGCAATAACTGGAAAGAGCCATGCAACACTGCGAAAGAGCCATGCAACACAGCAAGCGAGTCTGTAGTCATGAGTACTTTAGCTTTAGCTCCAACGGTACCTTAAGGGGGTAAAGGAGGGCAGTCCAGCACAGCACAGCACCGTCCCTTCTCTTTAGGCAAGGTATACTACAATCCACTGTTGCTGAGCTGGGCACCTCAGGGATGTTGGAACCAAACAGGGGAAAGGCACCTTACCTGACGCAGCAATGTCGTCCCGCCGAATAAACTCTCCTTCAATCGGCTCAAGCACCATGGTGAAAAGCTCCTCAGAGTCCTTGCCTGGCTTGGAGGGGACTGCCATGGCCATGCAGGGTGGTGGTGGGGTGTTGGCTGGAAGGTTGTAGCTGTCAGCAGCACGGCGGGGTTTCACGCTGGGGTCGCCTTTCAAGATATTATGAAGTTCGTTATAGTAAAGGCAGGTGATCCTGTCGTTGCTGGAGGTGTTATTGTGGAGGAGAACTCGCTTGTAGTCTGCAGGGAGTGCCTTGGTCTTGTTGCGGCATTCAGTCGCTGAATGGCTATGACCCCTCGACGTCATCCCCCGCGCTATTTCTTTATAGGTCTCCATCGTGAAGTGAGACTGCCTGATGGATTCCTGGACCCTCTGCTCACCCCACAAAGCTAGCAGGTCCAAGATCTCCTCTCTCTTCCATGATACACCTCTGACTCCCACTCCCGCCACCTTGTCGTCCCTTCTCAGAAATGTTAAAACAGGAAGTTTACCTGGAAAGCTGGGACTACACCTGTCCTCGTGGAGTACCTAGAGACTACTTTTGTGAAGCACAGGTGTGCCCGAAACAAGCACCATCTACATTACCAAACGAGAAAGAAAACGGGGTTAAACATGCACTTGGGCGTACATACAAACTAAAAAGGCCAAAATAAAAGCTAGCACCTGTTTGCACATGTGCATAACTTAAACCAGAAACACAAAAAAAAGGGGGGGGGGAGTTAGCGCGGTCACCGCTGATTGCTGTCCAGATACCAAAACCGGGGATACAAAGCATGAGATATCGGAAAAACACCTGTTCCAACGGGATAAAAAGAGCGGAAACCATTCGGTGCGGGAGGCGGGTTTGCCAATATGAACAGGAAACTGTAAAGCACGAGGGATCAGCAGCCCGCACTAAATGTCCCTGTGACCTGACCCACACACAAGAACAAATAGCGCGCCAGCGGTGGGAATTCGGCGATTTCTGCCCGGCGCCGGCCGCCAGATGGCTCCGCTTTGTGGCTTTGCAAAAGCGCCAGTCCTTTCTCCGCGTTGCTCTCTTTTTTCTCTCGTCTCCTGCGCGGCGACCCGGAGGGGCTGAGCTTCCTAGAGCAGATGCCGCAAGATCCGGTCAGCGGCGTCTATGGTGATGGAAAGCCTCGGCTCTCCGATGCTCTGGTCCCCCCCGTTGTAGGGGGGCTCCGCCGGCGGCGGAAGGGCCTTGGGAGGGTAGGTGGGATCCGGTTGCAGCTGCCCCCCTCCCTTTCCTTCCCCTGCAAGACCTGCAAGTTGCTTTTGCAGCCCCGCCGGCGAACTTGCCCTTCCCCAGACCCCTAGTTTCATGCGCCTGCGAGGGGCAAAGAGCCGCGCACCGAAAAGGTAACCCTCACCCCCCACCCCGGGGCTGAGATCTTTGCGGGAGAAGGGTTCTTTTGGCGGCGGGGTGGGGAAAGGAAAGGGGAGAAACAAACAGGCTGCAGCAGCGGGAAAGGTTGGGGAAACGGGAGGTGCTTTCTGAAAGGGTTCCCGGGTCCTTGTTGTTGTTCTAGAAAAGAGCAGGTAACAAAGGGGGCAGCAGGATCGGGACCGATCAGTAGGGGAGTGCGGAGGCGCTGGAGTGGACGCGGGGGGAATTGTGCAAGAGAGATCCGGGTCGCGGGGGGGTGTGTGGAATCCTGAGGACAAAATACTTTTTAAAAACGCAAAGTAGAAAGGAAGTCGCTTTGGTGGGGGGATTGAAAGTGCTGTTACATTCTAGGGGTGCCCCACTAAAAACACCTGCTGGGACAAGCAAGAATCCAGTAGCCGCTTAAAGGCTGCGATCACACACACGAAATAATCCACTTTCAATGCACTTTAGAACTGGATTCGGCCAGTTCACACAGTAAAATCCAGTTGGAAAGTGGACTGAAAGTGGATTATTTAGTGTGTGTGGTCAGCAGCATTCTGACAGGCAAAATTTGTGCCGGGGTATGAGCTTTCCTGAGTCACTGCTCACTTCTTCAGACTCACAACAGCTCCTACCCTGCCACAAATTTTGTTAGTCTTTTAAGGCACTACTGGACTCTTGCTCTTTTCTGCTGCTACAGACAGACTAACATAGCTCTCCATCTTGACCTATCTGCTGAAACGCATTATGGTTAATATTGCTTGTTCTTATTATATTGTAGAGCCCTTTAGTGTGCATTCTAGGAGAGATGCATAGGCACACAGGTAAACAGCCTGTTGCCTACTGGGTGCCAGCAATCTAAATTGGCTTAGAAAGAAAGTTGATGACTGGCTGCTTATTGATTTGCTCCGTTTACACCCTGACTTTCTCCCCAGTAGGGAGGGACCCAAAGCAGCTCACATCATTCTCCTGTCCTCCATTTCCTCCCCACAACAACCCTGTGAGGTAGGTCAGGTTGAGAGTGTCTGACTGGCCCAAGGTCTCCCAAGAGGGTTGCCAGGTCCCCCCTTGGCCACCGGCAGTGGATGGGGGGGGGTTAGGTTTGCCGGATCCAGATTGGGAATCTCCTGGAGATTTGGGGATGGAGCCTGGAAGGACAGAGACCACAGGGGGGTACAGTCCACCCTCCAAAGCATCCAGTTTCTCTAGAGGAACTGAACTCTGGAGAGGAGCTGTAACTCTGAGGGATCCCCAGGTCCCACCTGGAGGCTGGCATCCCTGTCTCCCAGCAAGCTTCTTTGGCAGAGTGAGGATCTGAACCCGGGTTTCCCAGACCCTAGTCCAGCTCTCTGATCACGGCACCTCACCTGGCACCTTCACAATCGTGTGTGGAGGCTGGCTGCAACTTTGGAGTAAGGAAGGAAAGGGCAACTGAGTGGTCGTGGTATAGTTGAGAGATGGTTGTGAAAATTACCAGACGCCCCTGGGGCGCAGTCACTCTCTCTCAGCTGAACTGACCTCACAGGATTAAAGAGTGGTTAACACATGGAATTCACTGCCACAGGAGTTGGCGACGGCTACAAGCATGGACGGCTTCAAAATGGAATTAGATAAGCATATGGAGCAGAGGCTATTAGCCACAAGGTATAGATAGGGACTCTGGGGCAAGTGATGCTCTGTCTTCTTGGTGCTTGGGGGGGTCAACAGTGGGAGGGCTTCTAATGTCCTGGCCCCACTGGTGGACCTCCTGATGGCACCTGGTATTTCTGGCCACTGTGTGACATAGAGTGTTGGACTGGATGAGCCATTGGCCTGACCCAACATTGGCTTCTCTTATGTTCTTACGATTCACGTAAGGATAATATAAGCCCTTCCACTGGTAGAAGAATTGCACATCATGTCAACTTTGTTGTCTGAGCCCTAGCCCAGTTTCCACAAAACCAGTTTACCCTCACATCAGACAGTGGAAAGAGAACCATGGTTGGGCAAAACAAAAGGGCCCAAAATCACAAGGCAGGAACGTGTAACGCTCAGGTGCACACTCATGCCTTGAATTTTCAAATCCCTGCCTTACGATTGCAGCGGCAGAGGTGACACCCCCCACCCCACAGACAGAAGGACCTCTGTGGCTGCATTCAGACGTCATGATAAACTGTGCTTTGATTCAACCCTGGCAGCAAATCAAGATTCCAAAGTAGTGTGTATGCTTGTTAGCCACCATTTGTACTAGTTGCGTTTGGCTGGTGATGTCTGAATTCACAAACCAATCCAGAATACAGAGATCGGTTCCCTTGGAGGAAATGGCTGCTTTGGAGGATGGACTCTGGCATTATAAGCATGGTTCTTTTAAATGCTTTGAGGGAGAAGCGGAGAGGGGATGCCGTGTGCACGCATGCACTCCAAGCTGCGCCCCCGCTTCTCACCCAGGGCATTTAAACTTTAATTGCCTTGGGGGAGAAGTGGGGGAAGGCCTCTTGCTCTCACTCTAAAAGAATTGAAATAGTTGAAATAGTTTGTCAAGTTTGTCAATGATATGTTGTCGAAGGCTTTCACGGCCGGAGTTCATGAGTTGTTGTAGATTTTCTGGGCTGTATGGCCATGGTCTAGGCCAGTGATGGCGAACGTTTTAGAGACCGCATGCCCAAACTGCGACTCAAAACCCACTTATTTATCGCAAAGTGCCAACACGGCAATTTAACCTGAAAACTGAGGTTTTACTTTAGAAAAAACAGGCAGTTTAACCTGAATACTGAGGTTTTACTTCAGAAAAAACAACTCATATATTAACTTAAGATGATCCAAACAAAGTAAGGAAAGCAATCCCAAATGCTTTCACTTACTTAAAATTATTTAGCACAGAATTCGACACTTTAATGATGGTCTGGGCCTGGCTGGGGCGATGGCACGCGTGCCCACGGAGAGGGCTCTGAGTGCCACCTCTGGCACCCGTGCCATAGGTTCGCCGCCACTGGTCTAGGCATTGTAGTACCTGACGTTTTTCCAGCAACTGTGACTGGCATCCTCAGGAGTATAACACTGAAAGATGGAGTACTCTCTGTGTCAATGTGAGAGGACAAATGGTAGGCAGGTAATTTATATCTACTCAGGAAGGTGGGGGAGGGTTGAGTCATGATCTTGTAGGAGTTTCTCAGGCTGTGATATGTTAATGGAGGAGCTTTCCTGAGGAGGTTCTTTTGCCTATAGATTGGCTGTTGAAATTCTATTAATTTCTATTAATTAATTAGTTAATTTTTTATTAATTTAAATGATAATTGTATGAGCTTTTGCAGCTCTTAAAACTCTAAGAAGGCAGATCTTAAAACTCTTAAGAAGGCACATCTTTCAGAACTGATTTATTAATACACATCTTATTTAACAGTGATTTGATTGTTCTGACGGCATTTTCCTCAGCATTTCTTTTTTCTCTTTACCACCTGGAGAATGGCAACCCTGATAGACCTCTCCTCCGTCAATGTATCTAAACCCCTTTTAAAGTTGTTGATGCCTGTGGCATTGTGTTCTGTTACTTTTTTGTCTGACTTCTGTAGAAAAAAATCATTCCCCCTCCGGTTTTTGTGTGGGGTGTGGTAATTTGTGTAATCACAAAGGGAATGAAGAAGTGATGTGTGTGTGTGGGAGAAATCTCTGAAAACCAGGGTGCGGTTTGTGAGAAAGATTTTTTAAAAAAACAAATGCAAATACCCCTTTTGACGCCCCCCCTCTTTCTCCCTGACAGATCGGCAAAATGATGTGTGTGTTTGTCATTGGAACATTCCCTCCCCCTGGGGGAAGAGAGATGATGGCGGTGAAGACAGTTCAGGTAGAGGATGGACTGGGGGAAATGACTGCTGGTGGCTTAAAATGCAATAAAAAAGAAATTGGGGGGGGATATAGTGATGGAGCACACTCTTTATTTTCTCTTCCCTTCTAGGCGCCGCCGTTCTCCTTCGAAGAGGTGGCCGTGTACTTCACGGAAGAGGAGTGGGCACTCCTTGACGCTGAGCAGAGAGACCTGTACTGGGATGTTATGCAGGAGAATTACGAAAATGTGGCTTCCCTAGGTAAGGAGCTCATTTGCCCTTTGGTTAGTTGTGGCCACGGTACCTCTGAAGCCAGGTAGTGTGTGGCTCACAGTGGCCGTTGCCGAGGCTAGTTGGGGAAAGGGAAGTCGTCTCTGGGTGTGTTGTGGGAAAACCTGGCATTTTAAACGTCAAAACAGGAAGAAATCACTTTTAAAAATTGAGGTTTAATGTTTTTCAGTCCAGTGTGGTGTCTTGGTTAGAGTGGTGGGCTAGGACCTGGGTTCAGATCCTCGCTTGCCAAGAAACACACTGGGTTCAAATCCTCTCCTGCCGAGAAACTCACTGGGCCAGTCGCTTTCTCTTAGTCTAAACTGCCTGATGGGTGCTGCGGACATAAAATGGAGTAACAGGGAACTGTGTATGTAGTTTTTCTGTTTGTTCTAAGATTTCTGATCTTTCCCGCAAACCTGGGGCTTTCCTGAGGTTTGCAAAAAGACCTGTCTTGTCTGTTGATGGCTCCAATATCCAGATTTAACTATCCGCAGAGGAGGCCATCTGAGAATTAGTGATATTGATTATCAGTACAGCCCCCCTTAATTTGAAAATGTGCGAACCGTTTCTCGGCACTGTAAAAGCTAAGGTTGGTCCTAACTCTGGAAGTGAATCATTCGGACATTGGGAAAAATAATATGTTACCATTTTTAATCCGACTGGGTTGATACACACTGTTCTTCCTCCCCACCCCGCTTTTATCTATCGTTTGGGTTTGGCAGAGAGATAAGGACTAGCCATCAGCTTTGTGGTTGGTGGGGGGGTGGGTCAGATTTCCTGTGACTTTGGAGTTCCATAATTGGAACTCCAGATCTGGGTGTTTTTTGGTTATGAAAGGCAACAGTGAAGGATTTCTAAATCGCTACTTGGGGGGACTATTCTCCCCTGCACCTTTTTAGTGCCCAGTTCAGGTTACTTTAAACCCAGTGAAGGGAAAAGACTGATAGAATAGCTGTCTTTTTGCCCTACTGGGAGTTGAGGCAAACTTGACTGTGGGTGGGATTTGCTACCTAGGAAATGGTGCTGAGGGGAAAGTTGGCACCCCCTTCCCCATGCTAAGATCCCAATCTTGCCTGCCCAGTTGCTTCTTAGGGCTATAATCTATATCTTTTGAGTTCCAGTTGCATGTCATTTGTCCCTGAGCGGTGCAAACCTTGGTCTCTAACCCCTACACCACACTAGCTCTGAGGTTTGAATTGGTCCCATGTGGAGAGCTCTCAGCTCATCTACAGGGACTGAAGACATGCTTGAGAGGCATTACAGAAGCGCACCCCATACAGTTTGAGAGGTTGTGTCTGAATTGGTGGTGTCACTGAGGTCATGGGTCACCGACTGAGAGGCGGGGGGGGGAAAGGAGTCATGCAGATTTCTCCTCACTTTGACTAGTACTCGGATTTGCAGAAAACTTAGGGGACCGTGTATTAGCCAGTGGGGATGAATGTCTGTTTCTTGAAGGATTGAAAACAGGTCTGTGTGACACGCCAGGCACACATTGTTCTCAGGATTCTTTTTCCTTTCAGCCTGTTTTTTACATTATTTATATATCCTGCCTTTCTCCCCAGCGGGAATCCAGAGTGGCTTACATCATTCTCCTCTGTCTGGTGTAGTGGAGCCAGTCTGGTGTAGTGGTGAAGTGCGTGGACTCTAATCCGGGAGAACCGGGTTTGATTTCCCAGTCCTCCCCTTGCAGCTGCCGGATGACCTTGGGCAAGCCATAGTTCTGACAAGAGCTGTCCTTGAAAGGGCAATTCTGGAAAGAGCTCTCTCAGCCCCACCCACCTCACAGGGTGTCTGTTGTGGGGAGGGGAAGGGAAAGGAGTTTGTAAGCCGCTCTGAGACTCCGAGTGAAGGGCGGGGTATAAATCCAATCTCTTCTTCTTCTTCTTCTTCTTCTTCTCTATTTTATCCTCACAACAACCCTGTGAGATAGGTTAGGCTGAGAGGATGTGACTGGCCCAAAGTCACCCAGGAAGCTTCCATGGGACAGTGGGGATTTGAATCTGAGTCTCCCGGGTTGCAGCCTGACACTTTAATCACTACACTACACTGGCTCTTTTTGCCCACGATCACCCAGCAACCTGCCATGGCAGATTGGGGATTTGAACCGGAATTTTCCAAGTCCCACTCTGACACTCTAACAAGTACACCACACTGTTTCCCTAGCTAGGGTTGCCAGGTTAGGGTTGCTAGTTAGGGTTGCTCCTGGCAACCAGCGTGAGGATGGGGAGGGACTTACCAGGAGCAGGAGGGAGGCCCAGCCGATGTGCAGAGACATGTCTTATGTCACTGCCCGCATGATCCGGAAGTGACATCATCACGCTGGGGACATCAGAGCAACACTCCAGTATTTGGGCAAAAACTCTATGGTATATTTGGCTTCTACCATAGAGTTTTTGCCCAAATACCAGAGCATCACCCTGGCATAAATGGGGAGGGACTTACCAGGAGCAGGAGGGAGGCCCAGCCGATGTGCAGAGACATGTCTTATGTCACTGCCCGCATGATCCGGAAGTGACATCATCACGCTGGGGACATCAGAGCAACACTCCAGTATTTGGGCAAAAACTCTATGGTATATTTGGCTTCTACCATAGAGTTTTTGCCCAAATACCAGAGCATCACCCTGGCATAATGACATCACCTCCGGGTCATGTGGGCTGTGATGTAGACATGTCACTGCATGTCGGCTGGGCCTCCCTCTTTTTCAGGGTAAGTTACCCCCACTGGCTGATGATCAGCGGTGGGGCCTGGCAGCGGGGGACCCCCCACCTCCATTGGGGGGGTCTAGCAACCATATCCCTAGTATACCACCCTGAGCTCATCAGTGGGAGGCCAGGATAAAAATGAGATAGAAATGTACCTCTTTTTTCTTTGAAGGCAGCTGATATTCTCAGGAAGCTAAATTCCCACTTTGAGTTCTTGTATCATAAGCCCAAATCTTGATACCAAATACCTTTTAATTCCAAGGTTTTTCTCTGAGACTTTAACACAGTCTGCAGACTCCCAATGTGCATGCTTGGCCCCATCCTTAGCCAAATCTTAAATTGTTCTGCTTTTAGGTTCCTGAGTAGAGTCTTGTATTCACCCTCATAAGAACGTAAGCACATATGAGAAGCCGTGTTGGATCAGGCCCATCCAGTCCAGCAGTCTGTGTCACACGGTGATCAAAACCCAGGTGCCATCAGGAGGGCCACCAGCAGGGATAGAACTCCAGAAGCCCCTCCCATTGTTGCCCCCCCGAGCACCCAGAATACAGAGCATCACTTGCCCCAGACAGAACGTTCCATCTGTACTTTGTGGCTTGTGGCCACTCATGGACCTCTGCACCAGTATGTTTATCCAACCCCCTCTTGAAGCTGTCTGTGTTGTAACTGCCACCACTTCCTGTGGCAGTGAATTCCAAGTGTTAATCACTCTTTGGGTGAAGAAGTACTTCCATTTATCTGTTCTAACCCGACTGCTCAGCAATTTCATGGACTGCCCACGAGTTCTCGTATTGTGAGAAAGGGAGAAAAGTACTTCTTTCTCTACCTTCTCTATCCCATGCATAATTTTGTAAACCTCAATCATGTCACCCCTCAGTCATCGTTTCTCCAGGCTAAAGAGCCCTAACCTCTTTAACCTTTCTTTATACTCGTTCAGGTATGTTCTTATAGAGAATTGGGTACCAAGGCCCATACTGGCAGGACTTTGTGTGTGTATGTGTATGTGTGTGTGTGCAGAATTTAATATTGGGATTAAATATTAGGTACAAAATGCGTCAGCCTAAGAAACTCTTTACACTTTTTTTAAAAAAATCAAATTTCTAGCTCTGACGATGGCAAAGATAGGCGAAATGGTGTGGATGGAGGATGAGTCACTTCTGTGCTCTGCTTAGATCTTAGGACCCAGTAGAAAGAGAACAGAATAAGCAGGCATACATGCAAATATGCCTAGTTTGCATGGTTTCTACAGGTTGCTGCATTCAAAGCTTAGCGATTAATCCTGGTTGTTTTTTTTACGTGAAAGACATACAAATGAGTGGGGCTGTGGCTCAGTGGTAGAGCGTCTGCTTGGCACACAAAAAGTCCCTGGTTCAGTCCCTGGCATCTCCACTTAAAATAGGAGCGAGCAGTAGATGATGGGAAAGGCCTCCACCTGGAACCCTGAAAAGCAGCTACCTGTCTGAGTAGGCCAGGATAACCTGAATAAGCCAGTGTCGGTGTTGTGTGTTTATGTGTTTTTACTGAATTAGTTTATATATCGTGCTGTCTTTATTATTTTTATTTTTATCATGCTGTTTTAAATGTCTGAATGTTCTCATGCTCACCACCTTGGCGGTGCTAATTGTGTGGAAAGGTGGTCAAAAAAGATTTTAAATACATAAAATGTTTTAGGAGGGGCCATGGCTTAGTGGTAGAGCGTCTGCCTGGCATGTAGAAAGCTCCTGGTTCAATCCCTGGCATCTCCAGTTAAAACGATCAGGTAGAAACCCGTGTGAAAGAGTTCTACCCAAGACCCTGGAGAGTCGCTCCCCGTCTGAGTAGACAGTCCTGACCCTGAAGGACCAGTGGTCTGATTCAGTGTAAGGCAGCTTCATCTGGCTGGCTGCCAATAGCATACCAGATTCGCTTCAAAGTGCTGATGCTCACCTTTAAAGCCCTGAATGGCCAGGGTCCAGCTTACCTAAGGGACCGCCTCTTCCCATATGTTCCCTCAAGAGCACTGCGATCGGGGAATTTCCACCACCTGGAAGTTCCAGACCCCCGAGTCGTGAAGTTTGCCCACACCAAAGCTACGGCGTTTTCGGTGGCGGCTCCTACCTGGTGGAATGAGCTCCCGGAGGAGATCCGGGCTCTGCGTGACCTTGTACAGTTCCGTAGGGCCTGTAAGACGGAGCTCTTCTGCCAGACCTTCAAGTAGGAGTCGCCGCCACCACTATTCCACCACTGAGATTCTATCATCCATCTACCCCATTACGGGGGGGGGGGGTAGATGTCGTCCGGCAG